CCAAAATGGAGGATTGTTATTTTGAAAGGGAGTATATTTATATCCTGGCAGTAGTAAGAAGCTCCAACATGGCGCCAACCGCCATCTTGAGGTCATTGACTGTCTCTTTCACTCTAAAATATAATATTTAATTAATTTTGTCCTTCCCAATTTCAGCATGTTGACTTAAATCATTCAAAATATTTATCTTTGTTACGAATACGTAATAAATTCGTGTTTCTTCTCTTACTTGTGGGATAACGACCGCTTTTGATTGTCTTGAGAGCACTATTTTATAAAACACTGGAGCAACTAATACGTTATTGTGAGGCAAGTGCTTTTATGGCTGAGAATGTCTGCAAAAGTGGTAGTTGGAAATTTCTAGATTCTGGTTGGGGTTAATTATTAATTACATCAACCTGAAGCTATCTTTTAAAGGGTGAATTTACAAGAGGTTTAATAACCTGTTGTTAACGCTCATCATAATTATAATACCAGAAATCAAAATTCAAAGATCATCCAGACACATTTCAAAAAATCACCCTACTATAACTGCATCAAATTATACAATAGATTAACAGCTGACATACAGCAAATTAGTGATTATTTTTGATATAAAAACCAACTTGAAAAATTATTACCATCAAATGCATCTTATAACATAAGTGAATATATGGAATATACAACCTTGAGTACTTAAAGATGGAATTGAACATTTATATGATTTGTTATGTTTATATTGAACTTACTTATATTTTTATACATTTTATATATATTACATAGCTTACTTCATAGGTACTCTGTATCTAAGCTGCTAGTAAGGATGAAGATAAAAATATCAAATTTTACCGTTTTTGCACGCTGAATAGCTTATAATCCAAGACGTAATATTAAAATTCTTATCTAGGGATGGTATATATGAATGTGTGTTGAAGATTGAATGTCAAAAAGTGCCAAAATTTGATTTTTTCAAATAAAAGCATCCTATTTTTATAAGTTTATTGCATCAACCATTAAAAATTAGCGTAAATTTATACAGGGCTATCTATCCCAAAAATGCTTAAGTACAGAATTATTTTTTTAATTAGTTCGCTTTGACGCGGAAAACGACCAATTGGGTTCTACAAAAACGTCAATTTATAGTAATGTCCTGCATTTGACAGTTTATGTATAAATTATTAATAATAATCATGCCCGCGCATTTAAATTTCACTTACGAGAACTATTTCAATTTTTCTATTATTTATGGTGAGTTCAATCTAGTTATCTACAGTTTTATGAAGAAAATTTAAATGGTAAGTTAGTAATTTTATAAAAGAAACTGATAAGAGTGTGCAATATGCATATATACCAGTAGTATAAGTTTTTTAACACATAAGGTCAGCATTGTCAACATTAGTACTAATTTATCTCATTTAAAAATATTAGGAAATTAAAGAAAACTTTATGCAGTTATAAAAATTATTATTATTAATACCCAATAATATTTTCAGGTGAAGGTTATTTGAACATTCTTCGGAATTTACAAAACAATTACTTGGATAATTACCACTTGCTGATCATCGAAATGTATTGTATCAACTTGACGGTGCCCCACCCCACAACGGATACTTAATAAACAATTCCGTAAACGCTACGTTTTACGATCAATGGTTTGCTGATAATGAACCATTCAAGTGGCTGCCCCGTTTGCCAGATCTAACAGTTTTGGACTACTTTAACACTAAAAAAATATTCCTTACCAGAACCCACTGACCACTCTAGATGACGGTAAGCATAGAGTAGGAAATGCGTTTGTTTGTTTGAGTCCGGAAATCATAAGAACTGCCACTCGTCAGGAGCTAATACGTAGATGTTTTAATTGTTTGGAAGTTAGGGGAGGTCATTTTGAACATTCAACCAAAATAAGTTGTTTCCTGTTACGTTTTAATTTTGTTTTATAATAGTATGTAACTTAAATATAAATCGAAGTAGCTTATTCATTCATGGTATTCATTTCACTGTATGTGCGCTTGCTTGGAAATCTACTAGCAAACTTATCATAATTAGTTTTCATATTATACTGATACGAATACATGAAAATTATTAATTATATTATTGTTAAAAGCTTAATATTAGACGTAGTGATATTTCTGTAGTGCTCAATTGTTTATTCTCTGCGTCCCGCCGTCATAGCCACTAATTAAGAAACGGAATTTGTACTTATAGGATCTTTACTATAGAAAAGTAATAAATTTCAAATTACTCCAAAAGTAAACATTTCTGGTATAGATAACCCTGTATAAAGTTATGCTAATTTTTAATGCTTGATGCGATAAACTTATAAAATAAGGGGGCTTTCATTAGAAGAAAATCGACTTTTGTATATTTTTGACATTCAATCTTTATACTAATTTTTTGACCACCCTGTATAAATACTTATCGAGATATCATACAAAGTCTATTAAAATATATCCCTATTTACCAGAAAATCAATCCACATTAAACAATAAGATGTTCTACATAGGGGAAATGAACAATTACTTTAGAGCCTGCAAACATCATTTTTGACATAACATTTGAAGTATGTCAAAAGCGGTTAGACTTGAGTATAGGAGAATAGGTACATGAAATGTGATTAGAATTTTATGTAGAATCCGAATATTGAGTACCCTGTATGTTAATACAGGGTGTCTAATTTAAAATAAGCAAGTTGGCATCCACTACCGGTATAACCGTCTTGAAAATATTTTAGCTGCCGTTGCCCAATCGACATTAGTATACTCCCAAATTTTCAAAAATATCATATGCCTACTTTTCGAGAAATCTATCGATGGAGTTTCCGATGCGAACCCTGTATGTAATAGAATAAAGGACATACCATTAAAAATAATATAGATCTCGATGTTTTCAAACCGGGTTTCGCGGAATTCACTTCACATTCAGAAAATGACTTCCAAAAAGAAGAATATTGGTATAACATACTATGGCACTCCTATATTTAGCTGTTAGTTATAAGAATTGGCTGAACTATACTTTAGCGCATATCGCAAATATTACATTTCTTATTTTAAGATGGAAGGATGTAAATTGCACGAAAATATAATTTTTTTCTTTAAGGAACCCTCTGCTTGCTATTTAATAGAACTTCAAATTTGAATTTTGTGTGGTAATACTGTGGTATAGAATACTGCTTTATGAGCTGTTTTTATCTTGTTTACACAAAAGATTGCTCAAAATTATATGAATATAACATACAATGCAAATTACTGTGACACTGTTCACCGCAATAGTGCAATTTTGCATTATTTTAATGATAAAAATGGTTCATTGTTCAGTAGTAATTTCTTTTGTTTTAGATAAATACTCCCATCACTACACCATCATCCACCACCATCACTATCCTACTCTCTCCATCTATTAGCGATGTTGCCAAATCATGGATAGTTATATACCCTAATTTGGTTAGTTAAATTCTTACTTATATACTAGCGCAAAAATGTGCAATCGGCACAGGATGGTCATTAAACTGCGACTTGGAGGTGTGGCCGGCAGGTTTTACTGTACTAAATCCACTTCGTGCCCTACCATAGCGTTAGCTAGACACTGTTTTGAAGAATGCCGTAAATGTGATATATTTATATGAGAACTAACTGAAAAAGTAGCTGTTGCCAATCACTAAATAATGAAAACATAACAAAGAATACTGCAAGTTTTTTGATGATTTGATGAAATGATATTTATTTAACTATAATGTTGGACGATGCTATGTTGGGTGGACCTAGCGAGGTGGTCCAAATCGACGAACCGAAGTTAGGTTTTTTTTACCGCTAGTGCCTTTTGTATTTTCTGTCACGCGAGCCCCTTGTGCATTTTCCACTGTTCCACTGTTTAGACGCATACTGTTCATAATTTCATCTAGTTTTCGGTAAATATTGGGTCAACTTCTCATAAAACAAGCCATTTACAATAAATTAAGAGTTTTATTTTGCAAATAACCTCATTTTTTATGACGTATTTCTCCCAAAAAGGTACACCTTGACAACAATGGACATCTGTCAAAAAATGAACGTTATAAAATGGCAATTCAGAATTGTTTATACTTTCAAATAAATGGTCAAAGAATTTCACGAAGACTGAAAAATCACAACACAACACCTCTACACAGTTTACCAAGTATGTACCATCATTTACGTATGCATTTTGAACTGTTATTTTAGCTGATAAGCTAATGTGTAATAACGCGGCTGATTTTGAACCTTTTTTTGCAAAATACAGCGATTTTTCGCAGTTTCACATCTATTTTCCCTAGTACTATACAGTGTATGTTATATTCTAGAGTATTACCACCAAAAGTGCAACTTTGAAGTTCTATAGGATAGCAAGCAGACGTTTCCTTAAAGAAAAAATGATATTTTCGGGCAAGTTACATCCTAATCTTTCATTTTAAAGTAAGAAATGAAGTATTTGCGATATGCGCTAAAGTATAGTCTTACCTATTAGTTTAATATACGAAAGCGCTTAACTTCGAATGACCCCCAGTTCCACATTCTAAGAACTAGTAAGCTCATCCTCTGGAGTTTTTAAGCACCAATATTGGGCTTTACAATGACATGACCTCTTATTCTATTTTGTGCACGATGGCAATCGATCGTTATCTTGAAACTTTCAACTGTCACCGTTACGTCAAAGAATAATAGTATTCAGGCATCATTTCTTCACGTCGAGTTCGGCCTGTTCAAACGGTAACTTTAAACATTTGCTTTGCTGTTTCAGGTAACTACATATTTATTTCAATAAATAACTATTCCCGATATCGTTCATACTAAATGGCAATGCAGAGAAAAATGTTTAATACAAAACTGGATTATGTGCATATCCAAAAACCTAAAACGGTTTTTCTGAAATTCAGTATATTATGCCGCTTTGTGAAAAAAGGTAAGATTTGTTCTTTGTGGTTCTTTTTTATCATATTCACGTCGACCGCTTTTCCAAATGAACAGAAATACGTTTACATGCTGAGAAAGTTCTCAGTCCCTTGACAATTATCTCTGGCACGCAGGCAGGTATGCAGCAATAACTGATTGCATTTGTCTTGATTCAATGAAACACCTTTCAATTTACAGGAAATTGCAATTTGCAGAGGCTTCCGGATAGCACTAGCGTGAAATTACATTCCTCAAAATCAGGCCAGGGAAGTTAAGCGAAAATTCTGGTATATTCAGTCAAAAAGGGAACCTCCAGGTAATAAGCAAAAGACAATGGGAATTTCTTTTTTGACACATCAGTCATAAAGATTTCATGAGAAGCCGCGAATCCTATAACATTACCTTGAGAATCAGTGGATCTCTCAGCGACATATCCCCTTACGACAAACGTTGCCCTTCGCGCTATTTGCGGTCCACCAACTCGGGTCTCACTCTCCTCTTAAGCTGACGACCAAGATCTTGTGAACATTCTCCGTTGTACATATGCGCTTGTTGTGGACATGCACTTTTCGACCACAGATCCTAGGTCGCCCATCAGCAAAGGCTAGAGGGACTGACCCTAAATGGGCAGCGCCAGTTACCATGATCTTCAGGCTATCAGCTCTCTCAGTTGTGCTGATGAAACCTGGGGTCCGATTCTCAATGTACATATTTCCACCGTTGAAAGTCCTGTTCGTACAGCAGTCGCCAACCTGTCAGTGACTGTATCCAAGATCGCGCCACATAAATTGCGTTCACTCTTCCATGGCCGGATCCCAGACACAGTCAACGACAAGTCGCCGACGGCTGTACGAACAAACCTGATATTAATTTTGATGTCGCCTTTTGACACACATAAACCGCAACGATAATTTTGTCACCGGATTCTAGCGATTTTTTAAAGTGGAGTTATTATGGAAGTGTCTAAGTTAGATATCATAGTGGATCAAATATATGTATTACGGCAAACCGCCATCAAAATTAGTTTTGACGGTCGAACTTACTAGAATCAAGCCCCCGACTAGGTAAAAGGGGCCAGTCAAGGATTTGTTTGTCTCATAGTCTGTAGTGCGGATCAGAGTGCACTTGACATAAAGTATTTTTTTGATAGTTCTCTCATTGAATAGTGTTAATTTCTGAAAGTGCGAGTGTTTCCAGAATGTTGTGGCGTTAGATTATTTCAAGATATGGTACTTCTTACATAATTTGGAAAGAGCGACACAGGCCATAAAGGGTAGAATTTTCTACCGAGAAGTATCATTAATACGTTGATACATAGTCCAAGGTGTGAACTGTACTGCGCAAATTTGGCGACAAACAATGCAACGTAAGCATAGAGACTTGGCTTCTTTAAATCTATTCGAATCCATTATCTGATATAGTCAAAACATGCATGTACACAACAAAGTCATGTGAATACTGGACAACATACAATAGACGAAGATGCTAAAGTAAGACTGAAGCCAGTCTATGCAGGCAGGTTTAAATCCAGTTTGTAGGTTAGATATTTGGAGCTCAGGGCGCCAAATCCTAGAGAGCCCCAAAATTGTACAAAGAAACGTTACATCCGCAAATTTTAATTGTATGAACGTGTTTAACTGACTTGATCCGTTCAATTTTTTTGTTTCGTATGTATCTGGTTCGTAGATAACTTATTTATCAGATGTGCCAATTTGTATCCAACATAATCCTTTATGAACTGATGACAGCATTGCGCAGGAAGTGCAGAGTGAACCTACTTGATGCCATTTTGTTTCTTGTATTGTTATCTGTTTCATGTGATTTGTAACGGGTTACTAATGCAAGAGCAGCTACTTTGCTGAATGTTATCCCAGACTTAAGAAAGCGGATATATGGAAATATTGGTTTTTATCTTCCTTCGATGCCCCTTACAGCTTTGGAAATCTTCGTGCGTATTCTCTGGCTGCTTCTGCTGCGTTTCCATTAACAAAGCCATCCTCAAAATGAATATCCGCTAACTCTTGATTGGAGAATAAAAATGGCATTTTTATAAAACTTACAAAAAAAAAACAGGTAAAAGAAACTAAATTTCGTGCATTCAAAATTGCAAAAAAACGTTTTAGGTTTCAACAGACAACAAAACTAACTGTCAACTAATTGACGTTTAACTTTATTCTGCTTTCAATTTCAAAAATATTTGCAGGCACAGCCTACTTCTAAAAATTATCGAGATACTGACTTTTTAACGTTATTTTATCATAAATAATTAAAAATGCTTCGAACCTTAAAAATCGAAAGAGAGAGCTTTTTTATGTTGAAAAGAGCGAAGAATCAGTTTTTTTATTCAAAAAGCAAAAAATTGCACTAAGAAAAATTTGTCGTCATTTTAATACACTACAGGTACAGTAGACAGCGCCCTCTAGCGGCTACAGTAAAACTATGCCCATGGTTCGTTTTGTCGTACCAAAAAAAACCCTTGTATACTATATATAATTTTCACTGTTATACATCAAATATTGTTCGAAATATTTAAAAGAAACTATTTTAGAAAGTAAATTTGAACACCCTTTATTTCGGAAGCCACGCATTTTTCGACCCATGTTTATATAGACTTTATGCATTAATTTTAAAAGTTCTATCGGATCTTAAAGTTATGCAACAATAAACTGAAACACCCTGTATATACATGCTATATTTGGTTGCCGCTTTGACAGCTATAACCGTTTTTGGGAACAAAAATTCCAACTATGTGCCAAGGATTGTACTATAATCAAAATTCAATTTTAGATTTTATTTCCCATATTTCGATATACTTTTAAGTTATGTTCTCTGACGGATACTAACATCTTAGTATCGTATGATTAAGTGGTTACTAGGCTGCTGGTTGCTGGTTATCATGGATGACAAGTAATAAGAATCGCTGTCCTAAAACGGTGCCCTGAAGGACGCCTGCTACAAGCCATTAGACAACTCGATGTCTCAAGCGAACAGTCAGAATTGACGACAGTCTGTCGAACCCGGAGACAAATAGAAATCGAATCCATTTTTCTGCCAATGACGTTGAACGGCGGACAATTGCGTAACTTGCTGGTAATAAGCAGGATCGACGATGTGGTGTCGTGCATCGTGAGCACAGGCCGTTCAACTTTGGCCGTCGCCTTCGCCTTTACCTTCTCGCTAAACTTGTTCAAGTTCCGCGATACGCCGAATTAACTTTCTCCGATGGCAATGGTCGAGAAGCCAGCGAAGTTCGGCGACACACAGTCGAAAGTAAAATAGGCAACTACGATCTATAACGCAGGCACATTAGATCTGATACGACACTCTCGCTGATAAGAACAAATGGTGAATTTGAAGGTGTTAGGACAGCAAATCAAGTAAGCCAGATTTGAATCAATATAACATTTAGATATAACGGCACCCTTGGTGCAGATGCCTATGACTCTCTCCAAAATGACAGTTATTGCTACAATATCGAACCCTTGTTGAAACACCACGACTACTAAAGTACATAAAATTTGAAAATCCTTAAGCTTTAAGATGAACACCACACGGAGGCAGCTAGCTGGAGAAAACAATGTATGTTTAGTATTACAGATGAAGAAAATGGTTGTGATTCAGTTTAGATGATCGTATGCACCACAAAAGATATCATCCTACTGACAGCAGTAGCACCGGAAGTGACTCTAAACGAGTAGCTCAGGTGAATAAATGAATTGGCTTATGACTTTATTGCTGTTGAAGATGAGGCTGTGACGTATGCTTCTACTCCCTAACTTCCTTCGCGAAAAACCTTTAAAACGCGGTATTATGTTTTTGGGTGCTCTGTGACATGTTCATCACGAAACGTCGTGTCACTCATTTCCATCGGTGTGCTGTCGATCTGTCCGTATGTCGGTCTGTTTGTCCGCAAATCCTTGGCCCGTCTTTAACTTGAGAACTAACGCTCGGATTATAACGAAATTTCCACACAAGGTTCATATTCATTCATTTTATAACCGTATAAACAACAACCAATTAAAAAACCTAATCTCCACTAACTACAATGCTTCCAAGTGTCCCAGTCTGCAAGTACATTGAACATGCGATCTATGTACATATTGTATTTCAATAGAAATAAAATGAGTGGCGGTAAGTGAAAATAACTTTACCTTGATGTTTAGTGGCGAAAATTAAAACAATCAATGAAAAAATGCGATTTGGATACGAGAAGATGATGCGATGATATCGTATTATGCATGTTTGATTTCGATGTTGATTGCAAATTTTCCAGGTTGGGTCTAAGTTACACTGCCTATGACGAGCAGGACGACTCGATACAACCGTCGTCTGCAAACCTCCCAGAGTACACCATTGCGCTTGCGTTCACTACATCCCTCAATGTTTCACGATTTGCAAGTTCCACAGTTTTTTGTTTGACAGATATTGCTATATATACGATTCCGTCAGTGAATAAGTAAAATCCAATGTTATGGCATTACCCAACTAGCAAAGTAGTTGTATAAACTTTTGGTAAAAAAACCGTTCAGCCATAAAAGCTCCCTATTGTTGTTGCCTGAACACCAAAATGCTGGCCTAATGTTGTGTGGAATGCAAATTTGCTTTCTGCAACATATTTGCTCTAAAGTGAGGTGTTTAAAATATTCTTATAACATAGTTATATAACACCTTATAGGGCAAATTTTTAACTGTTGCATAAACGTTTATACAACTATTTTATACGGCATATTTGCACGTTAGTCAAAATGGTTGGTTGTGTTGTGGCATCCATGGTAACGTTTATAAAACAAACCCGAGCCTTGTTGTTTTGCTGTGCAATTTACTACTTTAGCGAACAAATTGCTCCCAACGGAAGCGCTTATACAACTGTTGTTTAGTAACTGTTAAAGGCTGTACATAAGTATGCTAAATATGTTGGTATACAACTTCACCATAACCTAACTTTCTTCTGTCATATTTTGTAAAATGCCATAACCAATGTTTTAGGACAAACAACGCATGCATATTGGTTCAAAAGATTTTATCAACTGTTTAAACAGAAGATATAGTCTGGTACAAATTCTGGGTAAATCATTCGACTCTGTCGGTATTTCATTTCAGAGATTTGTCAAATTGTTGTATAACACCTGCAAGCAACACCAACATTTTCTAATAAACTAAAGACAACATGGACGATGCAATGATTATACACAACCACCCGCCATATAGGGCAAGCATTTATTCCTCTATATTAAATAATTATGTTTCAGTTCGAAATTACAGATATAAAGTGATAAACATTAGTGTAATTGTGTCTAAATGTACGATTTGTGGAAG